TGCCGCAGGGCACGGCCAACGCCCCCGCTTCGCGGGGGCGTTGCCCGTACCCACGTTCAGTAACGTTCCGTTGCGCCAATCGTCGGTCTCTTTGATTCGACCTCTTCTTCCGAGGACAAGGTTTCTTCTCAGCGTCTTGCCTCTTGCAGCCTGCTCTAGATGATGGGTCCATGTTTCGGTTCTTCTTCCAGTTTCTTGTTCATTGAAGGGTGTACCTGCGACATTGCATACGGCTAGAATAGTGAGTATTGCGAAGGGTGCTCCTGGGTATTGCAGCGGCAGTAAGTAACAAGTGTCAAATCAAAGTCGCCTGCGTATCTGAGCTTTCCATGGCAAGTCCATATAGGTCCCGCAGAAGACGGTGCGGCGAACGAGATTCGGTCACTTCGCCGACCTTCACTAGCCCCATCGCTAGGACGGTGGGCATTATCGTCAGTGATACATCGTCATGTAATCTTGGGACCTCAAATAGACTGGCATACGCGTCATGCTGCAAGCAGGGAGCGAGCAGTGACACGAAGCTCCATCAAGTCGGCGACAGGTCGAACGTCGGGCCACAACCCTATGTGTGCAAGCCGAAGACGGAAAGTGCGAATGAGTCGATGCTGCAAGCGCGGGATCATTTCATAGTGCAAGATCTCGACAGTTACGCCGAACGGGGTGGCGTTCATGGTCGGGGATACGCCGACGAACGACCAGAAGCCATTGTGATGTCAGCCTTCGTTACAGAGGTCGTCCGAGGGTTCTTTCACTCGTATTCTTGACAGTCGCTCACATCGCCGAGGCGATGGAAGGCCTCAATATCTGTATGACGCCATAGTCTGCATGAGAACCCGAAGTCAGTGGTGAAAAACTGTATCCTTAGCGCAGTTCGCATCGTGACTGGAACGCAGCTGCCGGATTTGGCGATACAGAGAGACCGAGCTATAGACCATGAGAGACGTCGTACATCACGAACTCCGGCAAGACCAGGTGACGATGCGACCATCACACCAGGTGCACGATCGTCGGGGAGAATTTGTAGGCGCTACTGGGCAAGCGGTACAACACCCGGACAGGGTCAAAGCGCGGATCTGGGGTCGCCCACCAGGGCGTCGCACACGGACAGCACAGGGAACCTCGAGCTTGCGATACGTGTCCATTTGCAGAACTAGTGTTGGTCAAAGAAAGAGGCGCGCGTGCGGCTAACAAGCTCGACGCGTCGCGTATCGAGATGCTCTCACGTCCTCGATGTCTACCGCGACCACCACCAAAACTCGGTCACCCGTAACGTTTGCCGCAGTAACGCCCAATAATCTTGGGACCGTTCGCAAGCTCAACTCTGTGATCTTTCCTGTGCGCTATAGCGATCAGTTCTACTCGGAAGTTCTGCAGCCGGAGGTCGAGGACTTCTGTCAGCTAGGTGCGGGATTACTCGTCGTATCGAGGGAACGAACTGATCGGGAGTCGCAGTATACTACAATGACATCCCAATTGGATCAATATGTTGTAAATTGGAGACGCAGGACGGGAAGGACCAGCTGTATCTGCAGACAATGGGCGTCCTGGCGGTGCGTTTCCCGCGTATTTGCGTTTCAACCCAGCGCTCATGCCCTTCCCAGCCCTACCGAAACCTAGGAGTCGGCGCTCAGGCTTTGCAGCATGTAATAGACGCCGCGGCCGCACGCCAGAACATCCAAGGGGTATACGCGCATGTACATGTCACGAACGAGGATGCGAAACGCTTCTACGAAAAGCACGATTTCAAAGAAGTCGGTGTGGACGAGACGTATTATAAGAAAATCAAGCCCCCGGTGGCTTGTATCTTGGAGCGGAGGCTTCATTGAGTACATGCGATTGCGAAACGAGCGAATAATGTAAGGCGAGTAGAGTGTCACATACATACAACCCGATGAACCATCCTGACGCGAACCTAGGCTACAGTATATACATGAAGGGCACAAGTCCCGATTACAATGAACAGTATGAGTTGCACAGCGGTGTGTAGATGGTGCGAGACAATGAGAGCGGCAATACAAATCAAGGACAAAGACTAAACCCTTCTCCAGGGACGTCATGAGCAAGTATAAGTCGTGGTACGCAGAGACTACTCACTAAGATAGCATATCGATTAAATGCGGATAGAATTAATTGACTGAGTCTGTGCCGCAGCGTTTGACAAGCTGATGTGGTCGGTCAGTGCCCGGCCCAGTTGCGGAGACGATCTGGGCGCACCTGGTGTCGTTTCAACGCGTCCTTCCTCGTGAATGTCTTGCCACAGCCACCGTTGCACAGAAACGGCTTCTCCCCGGAGTGTGTCTCCCGATGCCGCTTCAAGTCGTGTTGGCGGCTGAACGACAACGGGCACATATCGCACGCGAAGGGACGCTGCGGTGAGGCGGGAAACTGCTGATCAGACACCGACATCGCCATATCAGCTTGGTGGGTCGGTGCGCGATCATCATATGCGTAGGTCGACGCGAAGGCTGGTTGCGGGACAGAGTACGATCGACTGTGCGAACTCTGGTGCCTGGCGCTGTTGGCGACGGAATCCGCTCCGGTGGATGGCGGATACCCCGAATGCTGGCCAGGCACGGCGTAGCCTTGCACGGGCGAGGAGGACGGGTATGTCGGGGCGCGCGCTGATGGTACAGTGTAGGATTGATGAGAGGATACGGCCTGCACGGACGATAATGGATGCCCGTAGGCGTATTGTTGTTGCTGGGCTGCCTGTGGCGCCGACTGGTGCGCAGGTGCACCATATGCTGGAGTGGGATAGTGTTGTGGATAGGCCTGTGGCTGGGAGGTGCGATCCCACTGGGCGGGAGCATAGTGGCCGCCATGTGTGTGGTGAGGATCGTTCATGGCGACGGGCGGACGCGTCGCGGGGGCGAGGGTGGCGGGGAATTACTAGCGTAGGCTCGACCATTGAAGTAGGCGCTTATATGCTTGTCCAGGGGCGCCCGTCAATATGCCGATGGATTTGTCTTGTATAGTTAGTTGTCTGGGCTGCCATAGTGTGATGATGTTTGCGGGCCCGGATGCTCTGAGCGCTATCGGATGCGGATACCCGCTGCGCATGCCCGAACGAGTAAGGTCAATACGACAGGAACACCCGTGTCATCGCCTGCCTCTCCGCGCTAAATGCCGTTGATGGGCGGTCACACATTCCCATCCGCTGAGTGCCTTTTGACGGTACTGTTCAGTTGTGATCGCTGGTGCCATCTCCACGCCGTCGTGGCCCGGCAGTTGGTTCGGCGCCTACGGCTAGAGCTACCATCAACATGAAGCTTCGCTGTCCGAGATGCCTAGTCCATCCCGCTCTTTCGCTCATTGAGCATCGGGTGGTCGTCACAATGAGTCTGCGTTGTAGCTGAGACGGTGGTCTTTTTTGCTCACGCGGAATCCCGACCGCGCCCTTTGACGAGTCCATACCCGTCATGAGCGTGTCGAGAGTATCGACCACCGGCCCTCCAGCCTTACTTGCGATCGTGGACCGACTCGTATTCAATGTACGTTCTCAGGCGACGTCGGCCGGAAAGGGTTTTATGAGATTGATATAATCCTCCGATCCTGAACGCTTGCAGCCAATAGGAAAGCGCAAGTCGCCGGGAAGGGCACCAGTGCATACGTACTCGCAAGACTGCATCTGACGTCCCGCATATCGAGACCTGAGATCAGCAGCTGATGCCATATTGCTTGGCCTCGGCTGAGGCATCATCCACCAGAACTAAGTCCAGCAAGTCGACGGTTCCCGATCTTTTGACTCGGAGGGTCGAAACGGCGCGTCTGCATGTCTGTGCCAGAGTCTCCTGAGTTCTGATGCCAGGACACGTTGGTATATAAGCTCGCGTTGTCTGTATCACCCAACCTCTGTATACCGGTGTGTTCGGCATCTCCAATAGCAACGCATATCGCCGGATGCGTGAGCGCGTCCACGTCATGACGAGCTTGTACAATGGCAGTCCTGCTCCTTGATCGTGGTATTGGCAACCTTCGTGAGTATGAAGTGGCATATGAACACCGGTGAGACGCCGTAAAAGAGGGTGGCGGTTGCGCGGCGTACTTACTTGCCAGTCGAGCATCATCCGTTGAGACCGGTAGTGTTTCGGAACCGCACGCAGCGCAGCGTGTCATATGGGAGTTCATTCAAAACGCGCGTAAGATAGCACACAGGCGTTCACGGCTGCCGCGTCAGACTGCAGCAGGTATCATCGGTACGGTCCTGTCAAGTATGGTAGGCATGGAATAGGGCGCCGAAAGATCTTGAGCGTCGCATCAATCATTGTCAAGCAGGCGGGCGGAAGGCAACACGTCAGATGCGCGCCGCTGGACGAGGGTGCACGGGGATGTAGGAGAAAGGTTCGGAGAGGCCCAAACGCCTGACATGGCACTCTATACGATGGAGAAGCGGTGCTTGTCCGCATGAAATCAGTGTCTCATCCCAACGTAGTTGGTACCCGATGCCCACCACCGTCAAATTTGCGAGATCTGACATAGTAGACGGCCAGGGTGATGGGCACATAACCTATGTACCACACTGGGAAAGCCGCTCTGTTGGCGGACCAAGCACCGGGCACACGTCTGCTCGCTAGGATGCTGTCAATGATGCTTCTCAGCTGCAGATCCTCAACGAAGAACACAACCCCTTCTCGGTCCGGGGTTCAAAACGCCGCTTCGTGAGGATCAGTGGGAGTGCGTGCAGAGCTGGGCCAGATGCGTTTCTATGTGGAAGGACAATTGAAGCACTAGTATGGTGAGAGCTTGCGATGAGAAAGCCGGAGAAGCATCGCGGCAAGAGGCAGGCCTTTCTCTGTCATGCGGGCGAGAACGCCACAAAGGCTCGGGCAAACCCGAATGACGTCGACCGCATAGCCACGCGCGCCGCTCGCAGAATGCAACTTGAGCACACACCGCGACTCGTCTTTCACCGCTCACGCAACGCTATATACGTGCCGGCAATCATGCCAAAGCGGACATCTCATCCATCTCCAAGCACTAGTCCGAGCAAGAAGAAGAAGGGAGACTCCAACCAGCGTTCATTGCATACGTTCTTTGGCGCGCCTGTACCGTCCACATCTTCGCACAGCGTTGCTCCTGGCCAACCTTCTCATGCATACCGTGTCTCTTTGCTAGGCCGTGGGTCAGAGAAAATGGGAGGGCATCAGCCAGAAGTCATAGACCTTATGGACTCTGATGAAGACGAGGGTCTTCTTCCAGATGATACCGGCACTCGCTCGACGATCGCTGGTTCAGTAACTTATTCTACACCCGCCGCAATCACTCAACATACGCGAGACACAATATCGACCCAGTCGCATAGCGATCCGGATGACTTTCCTGCTCTATCACTGGATCCCGCTCTTCTCGACATCGCGACTTGCCCTTGGCGTTCCGGTACTCCGGCCCCTTATTCATTTCTTGCACATTCGCTTTCGACACTATCAAGTACAAAGTCCCGGATCTCAATCCTGAATACATTAACAAATACACTTCGGCACCTGCTCAAACATGACCCCATGTCGGTTCTACCTGCTCTCTACTTGCTATCGAATGCTTTGTCTCCGCCCTACACGTCGGTGGAACTGGGATTAGGACCATCTGTTATCTCGAAAGCCATACAAGACGTGTCAGGCCTCACTCCATCCGCTTTGAAGAAGTTGTACAATTCGACCGGTGACGCCGGAGATGTCGCGTTCGAGGCTAAAGCCAGAGTGCGAACGCTGATACCACATGCTCCCCTTTTGGTCACATCGCTCTACACGTCCCTTCTGAAGATCGCAAACGCAAAGGGATCTGGCGCTACGAAGGTGAAACAGCAAATCGTTGAGAAGCTGTTAGTGGCCGCCAAGGGAGAGGAAACCCGCTTTCTCGTCCGAACACTCGCGCAGCATATCCGAGTTGGAGCCGTAAGGACATCGCTGCTCACCTCTCTCGCACGCGCCGCGGTCTTGACGCCTCCTACGGGTAGCAGCGATCCCAACGCAAGCGACCAATACTTTTTTGACCCTGCAAAGATTCCCGCGGCGGCGCCCTCTGGGCCCGCGAAGAAAGCGCTGAGCGCCGAGCGCGATGAACTGCTTGAAACGTTTGGAAGGGCCGAAGCATTGATGAAGCGCACATTTGTGCAGCATCCGAATTACGATCATCTTGTCGCCGCTCTGTTGCAGGACGGGATTGCTGGTCTTCATAGAGTTCCATTGACAGTTGGTGCTTGTTTGCGCCGCTCGACATCATGTTACAAGGCTAACTCTGCATTCTAGGCATCCCTCTGCACCCTACTCTCGGATCTCCCATGAGATCGCTGGAGGACGTATACGAGCGTGTCCAAGACATCCCGTTTGTGGCCGAGTTTAAGTACGATGGTCAACGTGCCCAGATACACGCGTCCACGGACGAGAACGGCGGCGTCACAATCAAGATCTTCTCTCGACACCTGGAGGACATGACGGACAAGGTTCGTTAGCATACACCTTACCTTGACCGTTAGAGGCTCATCGAGTCTGAATGTGCAGTATCCCGACGTTGTCGCACTATTCCAGCATGTTCTGCGCCAGAATGAGGAGCTGAACTCCTTCATCATCGATGCGGAGATCGTCGCTATCGACCCAAAGGACGGCTCAACACGCTCATTCCAGGACTTATCAAACCGTGCGCGCAAGGCTGTCCAGTTGCACGAAGTTCAAGTTCTCGTAGCAGTATATGCATTTGACCTCATGTATCTCAATGAGGAGGTGAGTGTATTCAAACGAGCTTCTGGCGAAAGATGGCCTCCCGCTCATTGCCACCCGGAACGCAGATCCTGCTTCAACAACCATTCCGCCAACGGCGGGCCGCTCTTCACGGACAGTTCCCTCCCATGATCGTGGATGTACCCGGGGTGGCACAGCTTCGGCACGTCGAGTCCTGTGAAAGTCGGGACGGCAAGGAAGCTATCGAGGAGTTCTGGATGCATGCCGTGGAGGGCCGTTGCGAGGGACTCATGATCAAAGTTTGTTATCACATCGCGATCTGAGATACTGTACCAGCCACTAAAGGCATGCTAGGTATTGGATAACGGAATAGTCATTGAAGCCAGCGAGGATAAGAAGGAGAAAGGCAAGCAGCGCAAGAAACCGCTCCCTGCCACCTATGAACCAGGTATGACCTCCGAGACAGCCTTGTCATTGGTCGGCGTACGCTAAAGCTTTCCCGAAGACAAGCGCACATCTGCGTGGCTGAAACTCAAGAAGGTATAGTGCTCCTTTGCCGCCGGCACGTCGAGATTCTGATCGCTGCTGAATCGCGCTCTCAGGATTATGTTATGACGCTGGGAGATACGTTGGATCTCGTACCTGTAGGCGGATGGCACGGGAATGGTAGGAAGGCACAATGGTGGAGTCCGGTCTTACTCGCCCTGCGCGATCCTGAAACAGGCGTCTTCGTTGCTGTCTGCAAGTGCATGTCAGGTGAACCTCTAAGCTTGACGCGATGGTATCATCAGGCGCTTACTAAGACCATATTGCCTTTTCTAAGGCTTCTCTGACGCTTTCTACAAGGTACACCCGGTGAATGGACTTCGCGGCAAGATCACGCTGTACTGAACATGGTCTTACAGAGCATGAAGGCACGCTACTCGGAAGAATCGGATAATTGCTCTTCGCGCCCACTCTGGGGTGACGTCGACACTGGCGGCAAGCGACATCCTTATAATGCATTGGTTGAAGCTAACGCCGCGTACTACCACCGATACTGTAGGATACCGACCAGCGGTCTATTTCCGACCCCATGAGGTGTGGGAGATACGTGGCGCAGAGTCAGTCCCACTTTCTGTTTAACGAAACATCATACTCACACCAGCACAAGTATCACATTGAGCCCCGTTTCCGTAGCGGCTCGTGGACTGGTATCTGAAGATCGTGGCCTAAGCCTACGCTTTCCGCGCTTCATACGTACGCGAGAGGACAAACCACTCGATGGCGCAAGTACGCCAGATTTCCTTGCATCCATGTGGAGGAAGCAAGAGGCGAGAGGACCACAGAAGAAGGCGGCCGATGACGGAGACTTGGTGGATGCGGCGTTGTCGGACGATGCTGCGAGCGAGGACGAAGCATCGGGATCCGAGATTGTGTAAGTAATATCGAATGCAGTTAGCCTGTCCGTCATGAGCGCTCGAACTTCCTTTTGCCCACCATCAAAGTCAACGAGCGCGCCGTTCACACAGGTGTCAATCGCGAATGCTGTGCATTTGTAGTGTATGTACAGGATCAAAATCATGAGCACGTTGCTAGCTTCGCAAGTAGATAATCCATTAAATCCTGCCTAGACGCGAAAGTCGCCTCGACGATCTGATCCATGGCGCCTGTGCGTAACATGTTCTCCCAGTCCACGTCATTTTCTCCGACTGGCACGGGATGCCGTAGATCGAGATAACTGTGTAAGAGGTGAAACTTGACGACCAGAGCGTCTGCCTCGTCACCCCAGGTCGACTTCAGTAAGTCCACGATTTCGGAAGGTGGACGGAGTATTGCCGGGTTCGAGTTGACCACGGACATAGTGGGGGAATCTGGCGGCGCGCCTTCGTTGCCAATGCTGTTCGCCTTCTTCCGCCTGGCAATGGGCTGCTTCCTTGCTCTTCCGCGGGCTTCTCCACGCGTTGGTAGGGCCAATAGAGCACAACACACCGCGAATCGAGTAGTTTCAGGCAGAATTGAGATCACGGTCTCCGCGTAGTCATAGCCAGGATAGAAGCGTGTGGCCAATGAGTTGACGAACATGGGCCCATCGAATTCAGCCGAACAAGTCAGATTGCAGAGCTATCGGGCTTCGACTTCAGAGACGGTATGTGCACGACAAGAAACAAGAACACACCAAGGAGAATAGCCGCTGCGCCTCGTCTTGACGTTCTCCGCGCTCAGCGCAAAAGAAAGCTATGTCGAGAGGAACAGTAGCGTCCCACTTCTTCTTTTGTTCGCTCAATCTATTGGGAATCTGCGTGAGAAGTAGGGGAGAGTAGCGCACTAAGGATTGTCAGGGCATGCTCGAGACTGAAGACTTTGGTTCTCACCGCCTGTCGTCCGTTCGGCCTCCTGTTCGTCTTTCTCAAAAAGCTGCAATAGCCAGTGTAATGTAAACCAAGATCTCGAGCCCACGATATGTGGAGAAGTCGTTGAGCCTGATCGCGAACCCATGTCGCTACGCTTCGTGGGACTTCCGGGGAGTGTTCGTCGTTCGGTGCGAAGGGGAGATACGAAATCTTGCTTCAAAACATCCCAGCATGCCCGACAGTGCGCCAAACGCTCAGCCATGATGACGACTTTTGATATGCTCGTGTCGTGGTTGATGCGAGGAGGACTTGCGGAGGGAAGTTCGCCGATGGCCGGGTAAGAGGGAAGAGCGGGAAGCAAGTGGGACGGGGACAATCTATCAGCGAGAGTACCGAGAAGGAGGTTTGCTGCTTCAGTCGCAGCCAAGGTGGGGAATGTCGCCCGTTGCAAGTCACTTCCGTCCATGCTGTCCTTGATAGGCTCATGGGGATAAAGAGATAAATATAGCAATTGCCGGATAAGTGGGCTGCGAAGAGTGCTTAGATCTCGACTCAGACCAGTTATAATTAACGTACTAGTCCGGTTGATAGCCATTCGAGTTACAGAGGCCTCCAAGTATCGTGATTCCCATCACATAATGGCCTTCCTCGAACGCGTTGAGTATTGTTTGTCTTTGCTGACCGGTTATCGTCAAGCGCGGTTGTTCTTCCCTACTCGGCCCAGTCATCACAACAGGCACCATTTCCGGGAGGAAACAAGGTGGGTAGTAGTTCTAGTACTGGGCGCCTGTTCGCTGATACGACCCAGGTCGTGGTTCAGAATCACGACGCGTCGGGGGCGGCGCGTTTTGCCGCATCCAAACGCGACGGGTCACATCTGTCACCCGGGCCGCGCCTCGCCCAGGGCCTTCACCACGTTCTCGCCTCGAACGGTCACCGTCAGTGAGGCGGCGCACAGGTTGACTTACGTCGTGAGCGAGCTCATACATGTAATCACGAATCATTCGTCTTAACTCCTCTAACAGCGCTGCTACTTCCTTCTTCTTGCTGTATATCCGAGTCCTTGACTGCGGTATAGATGCTCAGCAGGCTGTGCTCATTGCAACGATCCCAGTTGTCTTCTTCTCAGCTTCTGACGCACACCGCTCGCCTTGCGATGTCAACCCAAGGGGATCAATCTGAGAAGCCTGTTGAGCGCGCTATACAGTCGAAAGTACGCGCGTCTTTGCACATGGAGACCCGCTTGATAATGACGATCCCTTCCTCGTAGCTGACTGAGCTCTTGAAACCGTCAGCTCTGACCATAACGAATGATTCATGGCAACATCGGCACCATGCTCCAATGCGCGCGCAAGGCGCCACGAATGGAGAAACCCGTCAGTGACGCACAGGCCATACCATGCGTACTGTTGCTAACTATAATGCAGACTTCTCGGTTCAAGTCGTCTCGGAGGCTTTCAAGGGAAAGGTGGAAATTTGCACAAGTCATTCTTATTGTAGCACAGCTGACACCCTTGCTTTCCAGTCAACGATGCAGAGACACCGTATGATCTACTCTGCTTTGGGAGAGGAGTTCGCGAACGGGCTGCATGCGCTCTCATTGACGACCAAAACACCTACGGAGTTACCCGCCGACATGAGCGATGGCAATTGATGGCTGTGCTTGTAGCATGCTACTACAGAGCGACCGTATCTGATCCCGCGCGAACTTCTTATCCATCCGAATCGACCACAGCACTATGCCATGCAAAGTTGTGCGACGAGCTGTGCCGGCCCCGGTCTACATCGCTGAACGTTCGGGCTTCTTTCGGCATTCCTTGGCTCCCCGTCAGATGGACATGTCCTCAATCAACCGGGACAACGGGCGCCTCCTATCCACGCAAACTAAGATTGAAGCGTCGAGCCAAAGCCGAGCCTCGTAATGTGAACGAAACGTCCAACATACGGTACAGGTCCATGGACTGACGACCGGATCGAGAGGCCATGGGGACACCCGCAGCGGTCCATACCTGACCCGTCATTGATCTCGGAGTTACGGTCCTACGGTCCCGCGTTACTCGATAAGGGCACGTATCAGACGATTGCCGAACTGAATGCGCTTGGACTGAATGGTGTCTGTTCTGCACGGAGGATCCTCTCCGAGCTTTGCAGATCACGCATTCAACAAGATTCAACATGCCATCGTCCCCTGTCCTGAACCACGACGCTCTATCACGAGCCGTAATCCCATCCCTATAACACAGGTCTTAAGCAGATCGGGATTTGTCGAACCTTTATCGTTGATATATCTACATCTACATCTTCTGATCCATGGCATAGCACGGGGACGAGCGGTCGGTGCCATGGATGCCTCCAACGACCTCACAGCTCATGCCTACGTTCTGGTGGCCTACAATGGCAACCCTCGTATGCGCTATTCTTTGCTCGCGTGTCGAGCACTTGTGCCTGAGAACGTTGGTGGATAACTTGTATAGAATGAGTGCAACAAAGCTGTAGGGTGCTTTGTTGGCGCCCTCTTGGCCCACGACGACGCGATCTGACCGCCGTGCAGTTGCCGTGCGCATAGCAGGTCTGATAGAACCTCGAGAGCATGGGCAGCAAGATTGCGGTGTCGTCTTGTTCTCCACGTTCACAGACCACGTACCCAATTAGATCTCAACATGGTGATGACGATGGGACCCTGCTGCGATGCTCTTCGGCCATGCGCCTGGTACCAACTTGACCGCTCGACATCTGCACTGCTTGTGAGTGGCACCTATATATGTTGCGGAACCGCAGCGTCCAAACCTTCAACCTCCTCCTCTTCGGTCGAGCTTCTCCATTCTTCTTGAGTTATACTCTCTCTCTTTGAGTTTAACCTCCCCTTTCTTTTCCAGACAATATGTCTTCTCGCCAGAACATTACTCGCACCTCCGCTAATGAATCGCGCCGCGGCGAAGACGATCGACCTCAGCTCCCTAGCATCCAGGAGCTGTTTGGCTCGGAACTTTCGCAGAGACCTCGCCCGGCCTCCTACTCTACTCCTTCTCCTTCCATACCTTCGATGCAATACAACGAGCGCGGGGATCGCGTCGGCGATCCTTCGCGCGCCGCCTATAGTCACGCACCTCACGGACATGGACGACTGCAAGAGCCTCCGAACTCGGGCTCATCGCGTCATCCCGGTGCAGTGTACCCAGGCGGTTCTCCGACTTACGCTTCTGCCCCTCCGGGGCATCACTCGACCGACCGAGGATGGTCTCACTCTCATTCAAGAGCTCTTGATGCTCGTCACGCCCCGCCTCCGCCCCCGCTCCCTGAGCAAGGGCGGTATCATCAAAACACAGCCTACAGCAACGACCCTTCGCGTTCTCGGGATCCTAGAGATCCACCCTTCGGCGCCCAGCGCGCCCCTCCACCACCCGCGTACCATACGCAGCGCATGGCTACGCCAGCGCCACAACCTTCGTATTCAACCGCTTCGTATCCTCGAGGGATGCCAACCATCAACATAGACGCTGGACCATCCAGTTACGACCCAATCACGGCTCATTCCTCTCGCTACGAGTGTGAGTATTGCGGCAAGGGGTTCACCCGCCCCAGTAGCCTCAAGGCGCGTCCTATACAACATCTATGAGAGTCAATCCCTGATGTGCAAGCTTCTGAACGCAGATACACATTCATAGCCACACCGGAGAACGCCGTGAGTACTACCACATCTCTTGCGTGAGCCCAAATGACTCAAGTTCTCAGCCTACAAATGCACATTCGGGGGGTGCGAGCGCACGTTCAGCGTGCTCTCAAACATGCGCCGGCACGCACGCACGCACCAGCACCCGAATGCGGCGGACGTGCAGGAAACGTCCGAGGACGATCAAGACGAAGGCGAGGACTCGCCCACGGCGTCTGGCAGCGGCCGTGGCCGCCACGGCAGCTCGTCGGGCGGACGCAGTAACTGACGCGGACGCCGCCGCGACGCTCGCGACGCGGCGAGTCATCCTTACCTGAGGAAGCGATAGATCCTGGACGCGTCGAACCAGCACCATCACCTGCACGCACATACAAGCGACGCATGAGGCCGACTGCTCGTGCGTGCCAACGAGCGGATGGTCACCTACCCATTGCTTTCCCAGCACGCGCGAGCATTTCCCTCATCCGCCGCCTACATTTCTCGCCCTCTCTTCACTTTCGTCTATCTATCGCTCCCTTTTGCTCGGGTCTTTCTCCCGGCACCCTTCTCTGGATGGATCTCGCCTTCTCTACGCACTAATATACGACAATCACGTACACGAATCCCGACCACTTACTGTAGCATCGTTCTAGTCAGCACCACTCTCTCCCTCCGTGTATCGTTAATTCTTTCCCTTCCGCTTCGAACCCGACGGACACGCTCTCTTTGTCTTCCCTTTCTGTGTACTCTGTTGTATCACTCGCCCTGTACCACCTTATACTTGTAACGCACACCATCTCTGCACTGTAGCTGTATTACTACTATACTACCCTCAGGTGTGGCTCACACCCGCCACCCTTGTAATCCATCATCATCATGCCCTTCCTGCCTATAGCGCTCACATGCGGGGAATCAGGGAACCGCGAACCAAAGCGATGAGCGCCGATGACGCCGCAGTACTCTCATCCACATCTTGACGCGCTCCCAGATGGTAGATCATCGAGCCACAGCCGCATACTTCTGAGCTTACTACTGCCAAACATCGAGATGGCGACGCGCCGGCGCTGATTGAGCGCTTCCGAGGGGGTTCGGCCCGTTGATCAATCGAGGGATCTACGCGCTGTGCGCACAGCACGAGTGGCTTGAACACCGATGGGCTTCTGCTCTGCTGTAGTTCTCGGTGATCAGAAGCTCGGCTATCCTGGATGAGAAAGATAGTACGCTATGCTGATGAACACGACTGAATCCGCAATCAGTGGTGACTGTTGCAGGAATTGCGCGGCATCCAACACCACCAAGCGCCTCAGTAAGCATATCAGCTTCCTAGTAGACGCTCGCCTATAGTCCCAGCTCTTGGTGCATCATATGGGTCGAACGATCTGGACCCGCAATCGGAGACCACTGTCGGCAAGGTTGCGACCAACACCATGATGCACCTCGGAGGGTTGAGAACAGTTGACACTATACTGATGTGACAGAATGTATGACTCTTGTAGTTGGCATTCAGATCTTCGGATGGCATAGCACAAATCCAGCCTCCAATAGAGAACACACGAGTTTTATAGTTCTCCTATAACTTACATCCACACAGGCAGGCAGGGACAAGCGGATCGCGGACAATGAAGTCATGAGCAACAGAAGTGGTATGGACAATGTCAGGAAGAGCGGGGAGGATGCAATGTTGCATGGCAAAAGTGAACTGTATAGCGCGATGAAGTGTCATTGGTATTCATCCAGCGGTAAAGCGGCAAAGCGAGGGAGAGGGGCAGTATCATCAGGTAAATGCGAGAGAAGGCTTGTGAGGTGTTATCAAGCAGAGGAGGCCGGTTCGACGTTTGATGCTGCCGCAGCGACGGAGTGCTGCGAGTGTGTGCGGCCGACTGAGCGGCGGGAGTGGGAGTGAGCGCGCGAGTGCGCGCGGGAGGCGTTCCGCGACAGAATTGGCCTGTAGGCGCGCTTGCCGGCGGCCCATGCGTGACCCTTCGCAGCTGCCACGCCGTTCGTCACAACGAGACCGGTGACGACAAAGCCGGCGACCCAGTACACGATAGAGATATAATACCCAGCGCCTATAAACCAGCGCATCAGCCTCACTACGCGAAAGGGAGAAGTACTAGGGACTGACCGGGTCTCGCGCGGGCGAACTCCCAGAACTTCGCCGTGCGGTAGAGGTCAGAGATGACTGCGAATGCAATCATCGGGAAGAGTGCTGCGGGACTGATGAGGGGTTGGCGCGCTAGGAGCAACGGCTGATACGTACCCGCGAGGCCGACGAGACCAGCTACAGCCTTCCAAATACGCCTACGGCGCGAGTGCGTGCTCACGCCAAATGCAATGGCGAGGAGCGCGAGAACGTTGAATCCAAGACCAATCTACAATCGAGTTCATCAGCAATTGCGACTTGGGAGTTCAACCAGCTAAGCGGGTAGTACCTCGTAGATATAGGAAGATGTCGCCCATGATACACAGAAGCGACGGTTTCCCTGTTCGCAATGGTCTCTGATGGACATAGGGAAGGGTCGGCACTCCCAGTCCGAGTATACAATCTCGGGCTCGCCGTCATCCGGAGCGGGTATCTCGAGCAAGTCGCGAGAACAGCGTTTCGCGAGACCGAACCGCGCGAGATCGTGACTGCCCAGGTGGCCCTCACCACGCACAACGAGCCTAACAGTATACATCAGCCATGTGTTCGATATTAATGGCAGGGGTGGTATAGTACGTACCAGTCCGTGCGTACAGCAGAGGAGATGTTCTGGCGCTCAAGGTCAGCCTCCGTGGCATTGAATATATTCCGGTACACTCACGACCGCCAGAAGCGCGGCAACGAGGAGGAAAGCGATCGCGTAGGATGTCTTGCGCATCGCGAGTTAGGGTCTGGTGGTCGTCGAAGGCAACGAGGACCGTCAAGGCTAGACTTGGGCGTTGTGACTTCTGGCCCCGCCCGTCCGCCCCGTCCGATCACAGCGGTGATGTCATTTTCCCCGACGTCCCGAACGTCCGCGTTCAGACAAACTCTCCTTTCGCTCTCGAGTGGTGATTTGGCCTCTTGCGGCGAAAACGTCTCATGCTCACTCTAGTCTCTGCTGGGATTGGGATAGAGCTGGGAAGCGTAGATGAAAGGGCTGATCATCTCGGGGCTTGTTCGATGTCGGCCCGCTCCTTTGAACTCTACAGTCGGCTTCGTGATGAACGGCGAACGTTGAACTATATCCGATAAGCTTGTGTCGAGGGTCCGTAGGTCGGTACACACTAGGCGTGATACGGTTTATGGATCGTACGCAGTAAGCTACGAGCCTATTGGATGGCTTGCGAAAGCGCGTTGCCTGGGTACGTGGTCCTGCTTCTGGCTGCAGCGCCGACGCGCAAAGCCTAGCACGCAACTTCAACCGAACTTGATGTAGATCGAACTGAGACGAGCTCGACCATTGGTGATAAGCTTGCACTGAAGTCCGCGGACCGCTAAGTACGTTTCATGCATACATTGCGCCTATCCCATTTGTCCAACAAGTCGCACTCTCTCATACGTCCGCACTATTTACCTGATGAACTCAGCCATCAAGCTCGCACTTCACTCTGTGGCAACACGGCTTGATCACGACACTGTAAGCCCAATCCCATCCTAGTCCGTTCAATCGCATTGCATACAGTACCGGTACCAACTCTATCCCTCTCCGTCTAATGCAACGCCCCATCCGGGTACGTACTCTTCCACCCCTCCCTCCTTGTCCAAGCCTCCCACAGCGCCCTCACCTTCCCAGGAACCTCCGCCCCAATCCAATTCCCTATCTTCTCCAACCCCTCATCAACATGACCCGCGCCCGCACAAAGCCCAACATGGAACAGCCAAGCAGCGACGTGGAAATCATCGACGCCCGGCTCGGCGCCCGCGATGAAGGGGCCTGAAGTGATGGCCGCCGGCAGCGTGTCGAGGATGAAGGCGCGCGCGGCATCGTAGTTCGCCTGCGAGGCGGCGAAGAAGCCCGCTTTGGCTTCGGCGGGCGCTTTGCCGTCGTAGAGCGCCAGGAGACCCGAGTGGCCCTCGATGCGGGCGTCATACACTGACTTGAAGGCGGCGCCTTCGGAGGACGCGGCGTATTCCTGCATCTTGCCGAGACGGGTGGAGACGAGGATGCGCTGGAAACCTTTGGCTTTGGCCGCGAGCTCATCGTCGTTGCGTGCGGCGAGGAACATGAAGTTCGGGTCGAGACTGTCCTCGTGGATCTTGGTGGTGATCTCCGTAGCAGGAGCAACCTTGACGTCGGAGACCTTCACCAAGTAGTCGAGAACATCGATCGTGGATCCGTAGGTCTTGCCATCGGCATGCAGAGCAGGGAGCGTCGCGTTGGGAGCCTATGATATCAAGAGACTGTTAGCATCCTGTACTGTGCTGCATTCCGAGAGGCGAGATTGGCTCACGATCTTAATGAAGTCCGGAGAGGTGTTCTCAGCCTCGACGACGTCGATGGTCTTGGTGTTGATCTTGTCAGTGAGCTTGAGCTCGACGCTGATGCGCGCCTCGTTAGATGACTATCGATGGAACGCTGACGAGGGTGACGTACCGAGCGATATCCGTGACCGCCGACCAAATGGAGAGCTTGAAAGTGTAGAGCGTAGGCTGCAGCGGAATCAGCGAGCGCTACGACAATGACAAACAATCGTGCCCTTACCTTCGACATCGTGATGGTTAAGGAACAAAAGCAATGTGTTGTTGAGTGAGAGAGTTCAATGGGGATACGGCTTTGAGTGCGGCGAGCATATATACGCACGACGCCGAAGCAGACCGACCCATGAACGTGACCGGATGAGCAAAGCATAACGCATCATATTGCTTGCGATAACGCTGTGGCGGTTCCGCGCTAGCCGGATGGGACCGATCATGCCACCCCACTAAGCATCGTGCGCGCCGTCCGAGGCGATGCCGACCCATGTTAGCAAGCTTCGAGGCGCGTCAGGACGGCTCCGGCAGGTCAATGGAGGAGCGTGCATAAGCAGCCACGGAGCCGGGAGTTTGGTTTAGACGCCGGCGATCTGAACGTTGTGGGTGTACAGGCCCCGCTGAAGGGGCGGTAATATCCTACCGCTTACTCGAGAAGTCTGGGATCGTGCCAGGCATGACTTATGATATGCAGACTGCGCGACCTAGTCTGCTTGCCAAAGGTCACAGCATTCATAATAGTGGCATGGCATGTTCGAAAAGGGTGATATACACGTATATCGCGAGACATCGAGGTATCGTCTTCATCATCAAGAGTAAAGGGACGCCAAGGGAAAGGCTCTCAGTCGTAAACCTCACGGCGGGTTGTATGCGGCAGAGCACTGGTGCTGGATGCCCAGAAGCAATCGTATTCTCGTTGCCAGTCTCAAGCCGATTCCTCATCTTGCGCTCGCGCTACAACATCGGATCACAAATGGCGAATCAGAACACGATGCAAGGAGAGGGACGGGTGGAAGAACATACGTGCTGAAGGAGGCGGGAGGGCGGGGGCACACTCACAATCGGGCGTATTGCTGTCGTTCTATAGCGTGCGTTTCAGCGCATCTCCTGTGGTATTGGTGAGGCATTGAGTTGACCAGTGCATCTACGCCAAGATGCCTGAGGAGGAAGACTCGAGTCGACAGGTGTACATGACGGAATACTGGGTATGTGGGGACAGGGGGATCGCGGGGCGCGGCCGCGGCCGGCGCTTCAGGGAGGCGTTTGCCGCGCGTCGTGGCGGCTTGAAGAGGGCACTTGTCGGTCGGTTGGGGCGTCTGCGAGAGGTGGCGTTTGGATGCGGGAGGTGGGATATGGGCTTGAGGACGGGCGTTTGTGGTGAACATTGCAAAGTGCGTCGGTGGCGCGGAGGCTTGAAAGGGAGATCGGAGGTGATGTGGTTGAGTAACGCCTCGGCGGCAGAGCGAGGCGAGTGTTGGCGCGCTTCTCGCGCGCGTCTTCATCTACTGTTACGAAGAGTTTCCGTGACCGAACGGTCGATGAAAGTTTCTTCCATGTATGGCAATATCGGGACGGCCTATGGTCAATGCCTTGTGAGCATCCATCGACCGAAGAGATCCAGGATGGACACGCACCTAGCTACCATTGACCTGTCCACTTCTTGAGCTTGCACTCGGCTCCTACTCTCCATGGCCAGGTATTGCATACTCCTTTTGGCCAACGCGACGCCGGCCGCGTTCCTTCACACCGCCCTCACGACCTCAAGCTTTCGACAATGGAGCCCTTCGCGCATACTCCTGCGGCCACCGCACCAGAAGCATGAGAACCTAAGAAGAGCCAAGAACGTAAGCAGACGTTGAAGGTGGATGAGGTAGGGTTGGTCCTGAGGAGACAGGGTAAGTATGTGCGCCACCAGACGCCATACTGCGGTGCATCATCAGCACTACACCATGAAGGCAAGAAGTCCAATACGTACCGGTTTCATCGTCTTCAAAGAAGCTGATCCGAGTACGAGGACCGCCGCATTTCAGCGTTGAGTGCCAGGAAGAAGGCCTAGGTGGCGTCGGGAGGATCATAAGTAGCGCCTATCTCTGAGCCAAAGTGTATCCAGATTTTCTCAGTGGCCATCCAGAGGCTCTCTTGAGCTCATCGTATCCGCGAAATCCAATTCTTTTTGCCTGCGTACGGGCTTGTATGAGTGTAACTCTCTGAAGCAGCCCATCAGACACTCACTATCGCGTTCACGGGCATGTCGCGTCCCCAGTGCTCTCAATCGCCCACCCTATGCGCACCGCGCGCGATGGGCCCAATCGGCCCTCGCATGCTCGATTTGTATTATTTCAGCGTAGATAGTGCCTGTGAGCGTGCGGGGAGCCTGTGAGCGCAGTGATCCAAGTGAATCTGATGGACCGGAAGACGAGCGCGTCTGTATGATCGGAGGTGCGGGATCCAGATGAGCGTCCCAGCACCTCTCTCGCGCGTCTTGAATGACCAGCAAGACGAGTCTCGAGTTCCCGATGGCATGGGCCGAGGCATTCGGAGGTAGGTTCCTGCGGGATTGAGCTGCTCGACACATCTTCAGTACTCTCTCATCGGCGAGTGCTGGAGTAAGGGTACATACCTGCACTTCCCCGCCTCTGAACGCCCAACACCGTACGCTACCGTCATTCAGTACAGCTCTGTTCCGCGGGACGCCGCCAGAGGCTCTATAGCAGATCATCTTGAGTACTGCGCCTTGCACTCGCGAGGATGTGCGTACGCACCGACGCACGCCCGCGGGCGTATCTTCAGGCGCACACCCCGAATGCGCATAGACATGCCAGGAAGGACATCGCAGGCCGATGGCAGCGCGCGCGTCGAGCGGATCCAAGATTTCTCGGGGGTGAAGATCGGAGGAACCGGCTCGCGCTCACGCCTCCGCGGGCGTCATTGCCACTACGCATAAGTTGGCGCGAGTATGGCCCCAAAGCGATCGAACCGGAAACTCACAGTCGCGCTATCCCGCCACCGCCCACCCCCGCGCAATGCTTTGTCCACATCTATCAAAGGAACACGCGCGTCGTGTTCCCGGCGCTCTCAGTCGCCGTGTGCGCGCTCCCGCCCAATCGAGTCGAGTCGAATCTGGTCCAGTTGTGCCCGCTCGGCGTAGACGGTGTCTGTACGGATGAAAAAAAAACCTGTGAGTAGTTGGGATACCGGCCGGTACAGATGCGGAGAATGATACGCAGGAGCCGCAGAGACCGGCTCTCCCCATGGAGAGCAAGAGCAACTGGATAGCCTGCCCAGTCTCTTTTGGTCGGATGCGTCGGCATACAGTAAATGTTTGCATGTCCGTCCTCGGCCGGGTTGAGAGTCGGCGTGGGCGGCCGGCTTCAGGCTTCGGATATGCGCAACTGCCGGCGGCCTGCAAAATTCATTCGAAGACTTGATGCGACGGGCTGAAAGGCCTCCTTGAAGCACGCAAAGACAGGAATATAGAGTAGAATGTCATAGGATATAATATGCAACGCCAGACGCGACGATGGTGGTAAGTGCCGAACTATGACGCGCCTCGGCCGGCGCGCGGTCGCACGAGCACGCTTCTGACGCGCCTCGCGACAGTTGTTCTGGGACTCTACCGTCCAAACCCATCGCGAAGCAGGGCCTCGCGCCCACGCCCGCCCACACCCCCTCCTACTCCTTATCTTCATCCATAACGATCTCCAAGGCCGCAATCCTCAACTACAGAGGACATGGAACGCCCCGCCTCGCGCGGGCTCTCGATCCCCACGCGCCCCGAAAGCGGGCTCGCAGAATGGGCGGAGAAGATCAAAGCGATCCAGCGGCAGGTGGACGACGACGAGGCGGAGGAGCAGCGCCGGCTCGAGGATGAGATCCGCGCGAGTAGGCTTGCGAGGAAGAGGAGGAGTCAGGGGTATGGGAGTCGGAGCGGGACGCCGGCTGTGGTCGATGAGGCGCCCGGTATGTATCGCTGTCTTTTTGGATACTATGTTATATGGTATTGACTATGTATTGATAGTAGTTGAACCGCGAAGCCCTACGCGCGGGGACGACGAAGACTTCCGGGACTACGCGACCCGCCAACGGGCGCAAGCCGACGCCCTCACAAAACTCTCCTCCGCCACCTCTACGCCTCAGCCGCAATCGCTGGCAGCGTTCATCGGCGGGCGCGCAGGCGGCCCGCGGCTGAACAAGCACGCGCCCCAGGCAGACGCGCACGACCCGACGCAGTTCGAGCAGCGGAGCGTCGACAGGATCAGCGCCGCGCCGCACCCCGTATTCGGGCGGGGCGGCGTCGCGATGCCCGGGCTCGCCAGTAAGGGCCGGACCGAGCCTGAAAGAGCCGTGTCCCCTCAGCCAATCAAGGAGCCCAGTCCACCGGCACCGACGACGACGCCGGCCGTATCGCGCGAACGGCGCGTGAGCACGTCCAACCCGGCGCTCAAACGGTACATGGACCACGTCTCCCACTCCTCGCCCGTCCCCAAGCCCGAGCCCATCCGCACACGCACCTTCAGCACGCCCGCCGGCGCACCGCTCAAGAGCCCGCCGCTGACCGCTTCCGCGTCGTCCAGGCCGGACTATGGGCGGCCCATCACGCCTAGGACGGCTACGCCCAGGGCGGTGTCTCCCGTGCCGAAGCCGGCATATGTCGCGCCGAAGCTGGCTACACCGGCTGTATCCCCCAAACCGCCCGCGCCGGCTCCGAAGCCCTCGTTCGCGCCTACACCGTCCCTCTCCACGCCCGCATCAACCAAACCCTCCACAACGCCCTCCCCCGGCACATCCCCCAAACCCACCCCAACCCCATCAATACCAACGCCCTCCCTCGCGCGCCCCGTCCACCCCACGCCCAAACCGCCCCCCTTCGGCCCGCGCACGCCGCCCTCCGTACACGCGAGCGCGGCGTTCAGCCGCCAGCCGCTGCACAAAGATCCGACGCCGAGTATATCGCGGTTGAAAGGGAGGGGGTTCGTGGCGAGCGTTGTTAAGGCTAGCGCGCAGCTCGAAGGAGGCGGCGATGGAGGAGCGGGGGAGGGTGGGAGCGGGGGGAGGGGAGGAGCGAAGAGGCTGAGCGATCTCAAGGAACGCTGGGCGCCGTCTACCGACCCTGTGCCCGCAAGTCCGCCGGCGAACAAGCCCGTGGCGAGTTATCGCAAGTCCTGGACACCCGCGTCTAAACCCGAGCCGACGCCGCCTCCCAAGCCTGTGCCAATCCACACCGAAGAAGACAATGGATGGGACGCGCCGAAAGTCCGCCGCACGACTTCGCGCCCGGAGCTCAGGAAGAGCGTGTCGAGCACATCGCTCAAGAAGGAGCCTCTGCGCGACGAGCCCTCTCACTCCGTACACAAATCTCCCTCGTCGCGCTCACTGCGCAACAAATCGTCGAGCCATTCGCTCCGGCACAAATCGTCTTCGCATTCGCTCAAGAATAAGTCGTCGTCTGGCTCGTTGCGCGCACCGAACGATGAAGGGGAGGGAGGCGAGAGACCGCCGTCGCCCGGTGGCCGACCGATGGGGTCGAGCAGCACGATGATATCGTATATCAAGCCTATGAAGACGGGCGACGACGATGCGCGTTCGTCCCTCTCCGTCTCCGGCTCCGGAGCTGGAGCTGCGTCGAGATCGGCCAGGGCCAGAAGCGAGGTTGGTGGGAGAGAGTACTCGGCTTCTACGCTGGGTAGAAAGGCCAGGAGCGATATTGGAGGAGGAGGAGGAGGAGGAGGAGGTGGGGCAGGGTCACCGGGCAAGCCGCTCAGCCATGTGCGTCCACTCTGGTAGTTTACGCGCGTTTCTTCATGTTTTGCTTATCAATGGATCTTTATTTCTTTGCTTTTCATTCAAACCCGGGGAACGCCGTATGTACAGCTCACGAAGGACAGAGCGAAGCGGCCGAAGAAGAAAGGACACGCGAGCACGGCGCCTACGAGTGGCAAGACGACGACGGAGGACGGCGCCACGGAGGATGCGCAGCGCCTCGTGCCCGCCACGCCGCTCGCAACGGACGCCCAACAACCATCAGCGG